GTTGCCCGCATCGGAAAATATAGAGCCTGAGAATGATCGCTTTTTATACGTAAGAATTTTGCGCTGACTTGGAAATCAGGTGCTCGGCCTAGTCAGTATGAAACTCCCTGTCTTGGAGTTAACTGCATGTTCCTCATACGCAGCAGGATCCCATGACATCGCAAACAAAACTTGACATGATCACGCGGCTCTTCGAACCCCAGAAAAATGTTCTTCTAAATACAGTCTAGCCTACTAATGACGCCCGTCTAAACGCTTTATTAGAGAGTGAGATTAATTATATGGCTCCATAAATCAGATACGAGGATGAGAACTTTCCGGTCAAATAATTAGTCTGGCACTGCGCAAAAGTCCAGGAAGTGTGAATAGTACTATGTCACAAACTTAACCCTACATCAACTCCAAATACAAATTCATCTACTCTAAACACAAATTCTAACAATGGTACATTAGCGCTCACCGATCGGTTACGGGACACACTCGCTCCGTTGTGACTTGGGGCTAACTGTCGAGCCCTTTCAGCAGCCGCAAAGCAGCTAGTATTATGAGCAGAAAACTACTAACAAAGACAAGGGAGACTGGAGGGGCCATTTCCGGCTCATTAACCGTCATCGGTAGGCCGTATTCAACCCCAGATAGGCGCTCAAAGTACTTCAATCCATTTAACCGTCATTGGTAGGCCGTATTCAACCCCAGATAGGCGCTCAAAGTACTTCAATCCATTTAACTACGAAGGTTTCAACGCGGAACCCCCTGGATGACTTGATGAACACGTGTGTAATAAAGATTACTAAACTGCAGCCTTGGTCTATGGAACTTCGGTCTTTTACTGGTAAGCAATCAGAAAGCCTCGTGAGTTCCTGGGTGTAAATAGGAAAAATGTCTGTCCACAAGGTGCTTACAAGATATATTAAGAATTTTGGGCTGTTAGGATTTCCGCGCTAATTCCTAAACCTGCTATCGATTTAAGCCCTTTAGAAGCTGATGGTGTATATTTAAAAAGTGGACCCTCTGTTATGCTTCATTCCTTGATTAACATACACAAATTACAGTACATTAAAGACACCATTCCGCTTTTATTAGATCCGTTGACAGCCTCCCATATTGTGGTAGTCCTGCGAGTCCAAACATCTTGCGGTTGTTATAACTTCCAGCAGCTGCATAAACTTCCTTTCTGGAAGCTGTTTAGCCATACTCGTTTCGTTATGTCACTTGTCGTTCCTATCTGTAAACCCGAAATGCTTCGTCGTCTGAGAAATATGACGGTTTACGGTCGGTCATAAGACAACATGTAACCATAGCCCCCGACTGCACCGGTCATGCAAAGTACCTGATACAGCCAAAATGCATTTTAAGGTTTCTTGTTAAACTGAAATCGGAAACCCCTGTCCTGACATGAAATACTTGGATTGTTTAAGTTCAGCGATGATACCCATGTAAGCATTCGGGGAGTCAAGTTAGGCGAACAAACGTTTTCGATTAATTCGTCATCAGGCAAATACAATATTTAGTTGACCCAATTATTATAAGGGAGGGCAGGGTTAACAAAAGTTTAAGCAACCAATCAGTAGTAATTAGGGGGAAAAGGGCGAGAGGTGTTAAGTAATAAAAGGGGTCAGATTCTAGTCTTACTTGCGACGGCAGAAGCAGTCGTCATACGTTTCGCTAACCGGATCTTACATGTGCAGAAGGCGTTTATAGCGGCCCTAAGGCTCCCGTAGCCGAAGGCCAACTCAACATCCGTCTGCACACTTCCTACTCGGCCGCGAAACGGTGACGAGGCCGAGCAAGCATCCCCAAGGCGCCCAAGCCGTCACGAGACGATCATGCCTCCCAACAAAACGCGACACGAGGAGGACGGAAGATATGAACTAATTGTCGGACCCCTTCCTCTCCTCCCTCCCTTTCCCCTATCTGGTCTCCAATTAAGACCCTGACCCCTTTGATCGTTTAACACGTCTCCCCCATTTTCCCCCTAATTATTGCTGATTATTTGCTTAAACTTTTGTTACCTCTACCCTCCGTTTATATTATTGTGCTTGCTTGATGATGAATTAATCGAAAACCTTCGTTCGCCTAACTTGACTTCCTGAATGAAATCAAATCATTAAGCAGGCCTACCGTGCTACGGCGTAACACAGAACGGGACGCTCCATTATTATGTTAGTTTTGGCGGGAAAATTATCTCGTTGGTGGACTGAATTGCAAAATTACCTAAATGGAGTTCGGGTTAAATATTTTGGCCAAACTGCAATATACGACACGGTTTTGCCAGGATATCTCCATCTTATACCTCGCTCCTTAGGTAAAACTTGCAGAATCTGAGTCCACATAATAGGCACGCTTAGCGGTCTTCTTGCATTGACTAATATTAAGTCAGTTATAAATTCCCATTTTCGTACTCATTGAAAATATCGAATGTGAAGGGCAGCATAGACAACAAAGTGTCGGCTAGGCTGATTGAGTCATGGGCGTCATCTTTGGATCTAAAAGCCTAGTTATTTCCTCATAGCTGTTCTAGATTTTTTCCATTTTAAAATGTAGCTGTCTTCCGATAGACTGCGTTGAGATAGTAACAGCGCTTGCTCGCGCAAACGAACGCTTCTCTGTCGCTCTGTTGAGAGCTGTTGTAATAAGGGAATAAACGTTTCTATACGTCTCTTTCGCTTGCTTATGTTCATAAAATGGCAAACTGAAATAAGCCCATAATCGCAGGTTTCATCGGGGACTCCGCACGCTGTTTATGGATCCTGGTTTTTGGCTGGTGGAATTCCTGCTAGGGCAAGAGGTGAACACGTCGTGCAATTCAGACTCCCTATAAGGAAAATTTCCTGCCTAGAACCGTAGCAAATGACATGGCTAATAAAATGTCAGAAGGGAACAGAGTCAGCGGAGACAGGCTGCGCGGGTACTAATACGAGGGCTCCGTTTGTCTTACTTGCCATTGCGCATGAGGTAGGCAAGCCGGTGTGTCTTAGTCATTCTGGCATTGCGTTTGTTTAGACAAGTTTGAAGGGACGTTTCGCTGTTTTACAATAGTCTATCAGCCACTACGGTGTCGAAGGATGTTTGATTGTGCTATCACATGAAGAATGTTAGGGAAAAGACACACTTTTAAAGACTTCTGCCATTTAGGAAGATGAGTAGTTTCAGTGGGAGGGATGCTGAAGACACAAACTAGCATCAAATACATTTCAACATAACAAGTCACAGCCGTCCTAAACTAGGGCTAGATAACTGATAAAATCCGAGGTATGTTAAACGGAAGTACATGCTTGACGTAAACTCCGAAAAAAGGTAGGTTCGAAGTCCCATATAAATGTCACTCCGATTGCAGGCACCTTTTATTCGACTGATCTGTTTCAAGCTGTAGGCATTTGCGTATATATGGATATATATATTAATTCCCAGCGCTAAAAGTTTTATTTTCGTCTTGACTCAGTTCAGTCACTGCAGCGTGGTTAAAGTAGTGGAATGTCGCACATGTCAACTCCTTAGCAGTCCTATTTACGGAAAAGTCAAATTCACCCGTCGTCGGGCATGGCGTGAAACCCGTTGTTATCGTACTTGGAATCCCCGACAGGCCACATGCATATTATATGTGTGTCTAAGCGTAGCAGCTCTTCCGAAAGTGCTCATGATAGGTCCTACTAAACACTTTTTCCTTAACCTACTTGCCAAAGGGCTAACGCCTCCGTATATGACAAATGTGTAGGAAGAATCCTAGACTACGAGCAGCCAAGCAGGTTGAGCACCTTACTCCACGCTACTGTTTCACGACGATTCCAACATGAAATTAAAAGCATGGTACTCTAGAACTGTCGACAAGTTCGGCTAAATTGTTTAAGGGAGATGTGCACGCGAAAGCTGTTTTCTTCTGTCCATCGGTTAAAAGTACTTTTACTACAGGCAATGTTAAAATGAGTACCCTTAGATTGAAGTGAGCGCGTTTTCGCCTGCAGTACTAATGCGGAAGAGGAAGATCCTAAGCGAAATCGTCACATACGGATACGCGGGTGTTTGCTGGATCTCCTGGTTAGCACACGCAACGTGTTTACGCGGGACAATGCGTTTTATGTTTGCGGATGCTCTTCAATTTTTGTTTTCCTAGCTTGAAGGGTTTCCCTATGTCAATTTCACGGGCAACAGGTTTTCACCTGAATATAACTACTCCCCTTCTCCAATGCTACAGTTCACCTTGCATTAAATTCCAGAAGGAATACCTATTCTCTCTTCTGACCCTATTGCTGACGCTAAATCTCCCACCTTTAACGCCAACGATAACATCAACCAGCGTAACCGTAAGCACTTCCAGAATTTAATGCGATACCAATAGGACTGCTTATAAATATGTTCTACAGGAAATAGATTTGCTTAGAACGATATGAATTGAGAACGTCCTTATTGCACGACCTTAAAAATGCTTGAAAGAAATGCAGCTGCCATCCCCATTCTATCAAAAGCAGTGATGTAACCTCAGATATGTCAATTTGAATGATGAATTCCGCTTTTATAATTATATCGTTCGTGCAGCCGAAATGAACTGGTTATATTCTATTGTCCCAAACAATGACCTCTGGTTTTGTGCGCATCATAAAAGACATACAACTATAACGAGGAGATGCGACACGTCTGAATATAGTAGTGGATTTTTATCCTGCACTTATTACTGCAGTTAAAGTTTCAAAATAAACTATCGACTGTAAGCTCATGGTTGCCGACTCGTACAGAGAAAAAAAATACTAAACTTGTGTATGGGAATAAAGTCAGTATAAACGTTAAGATTTCTGCAGGCCTTCGGCCCGATAGACTGAGAACTGTAATGTTTAGCCATAAAATGCGTCAGTCATCACGGTTTCCTCTGAAGGAAGCGCATTTAATGCAGAGTCGGCCTGAATGAGAATGAGCATCTCGGAGCGAGAGCGGATGAGGAGGCAGGGGGCGAATTGAGGTCAAGAAGAACGGAGCACTAGCTGTGTTAGTGATGCTCGCAGGGGAGATTAGACGAAACTAGTCGTTTCGCAGTTACGCTGGTTAGGCTGTCTGGGGCTCCCTTGCCTCCCAGCAGCCCCACCATCACAGTCAATTTTAAATGCATTCTGTGCCGTGCTGGTGTGAACCGTCTGCGTAGTTGGAATCATGGGTGTGTATTCGTCAGGGAAGACCGTCGCGTTCGGTGTCTGGTATCCAGTTTCCGCACCTGACGGGTGTGAAATCTTTGAGATCTGATTTTTTATTAGGCGGGCGACCACATTGTAGGTACTATTCTCTCTGGGGACATTTTGCGTGTGGGCACTGGTTGTGTCTGAAAGCGAGAGTTCTGGCCTATTTTCAGTAACTTGATTGCTTTTATTAACGAGAGCAACGTCAAGTTCATCACAGGACTTGGAGTGTAAAAGAAGACGATAAGCTTTGATGTCTGTGGGCATGTCGGCGTGATATTGAGCAGGTGGGTAAATCCCAGAGGACGAGTTTTGCAGCATAGAGTCGGACGTTTGAGGTAAACGAGGAAGGCCATAAATAGGCGTGATCGTTAACTTTTGTCCATGGTCTCGCCCAATAGCCCACTGGGCGTCAGGACCGCTAGGAAAGACAGAGGTGTTCTTTTCGAGTAGTTTTGGGTGGGTAGGGCTGAACCTGCCGGACTCATCAATGTACACAATGTTGCTCATAAGGCGGCTATCTCCGGATAGATTTGGATAATTCTTGTCCGAGCCCGGCAGCAGTGTCATGAGCACCGGCGATTGCATGTCACCCTAAAAACCAGAAAGAAGCAGAAAATGGTTAAAAGAGAAAACTGGAAGAAGACACTTCATGCAGGGCATATCATTCAGTTTACACATATGGAGTACGCGGACTACTCAATCGAGGAAAAATGAACAGGCCTACACCAAACCCACTTGTGTCGGTGGTCTCATCTGCGGCTGCGACAACAATGCAGTTTGTTTGCCTCGCCAAATGTTAGGAGTTGTGATCCTGATTCTTTATTTTCACAATTGTAGCAAACCTGAAAACGTTTTCAAACAATCTGCCAGTTTACGAAGCCAAAGCAAAACCAAGGTAACAGCTGAGGCGTGAAAAAATGGCAGCAGTCCAAGGTCTGTATGACGGTAAGTAAATTCGGAATGAACGTCAAAGACAGGTAATTATGTCTGAATTCAGCACTCCAGCAAATGGTTCTGCGAATAACGTGTTGTGGTTTTTGGGTTTCGCACTTTTGCTAGGTGGGGTGCCTACACGGTCAAACAAAGTTAAACGAAGGAGCATACTGAATTGTAATCTTAAGATCCCAGCCTGCCAAATGGACAATTTAATTTTACTGTTAATACATTGATATTCCTATAAAAAATGCTGGAGATAGTTCAAAAAGGTGGGCACATGAGCTGAAATTACGTCCGTAAATTACGACTTTTTATTATTACAAACGGTCTTGGGCGGGGGGGGGGAGGAAGGAGTTCTACGATTATATATATATATCAGTGCGCTGGGGTCTCCTTCCCCTCTACAAAAAATCTATTCGTACGTGGTTTCTACAGACATTTTGAAACCTCCACAGTCTTTTAGGCATTTTTGGTTGAATTTATGTTCATTATACCCTGTATATGACTTTCGAACTTATATGCAGATGTTTACTCATTATGACTTCTGATAAGGTCTCACGGCTGAAGAACGAAAATGTATAGTCAGTTCTAAACTAAGGATTTCAAAAGTTGGATGGGTGTAGCTTTTAAAATTATGTTTCAAAATACTCTAATTTATGATCTACATTAGGTTTGAGCTCATGTCATGACATGTGAGAAAAGGAGGTGTGCAGTCAAAAGAGAGGCTGCCCCTTCGATTAGATTTTTTAAGGAGACCTAAACCTGGTCAAAATCAACTAACAAGGAGTATTTGAAAGGTCGATTTGGCAAGCATATGTTTTCAGCACCCCTTAATCAGGCTAGTACATTTGCAGGAATAATGACAATGGTACAGTTGGACAGTTGCTTACAACTCATCGTTTTGACGCCGCCCGCATAGCGAGATTGGCCTGCAGAGGTTCTTGTTTTCGGGGAGGGGAGGAGAGGAGAGAGAGGAGGGGAAATTGTGTTAGGTTGTGGGCATTGGGCAGGGGGTCACTTCCGTGGCTGACCCCGACGCCAGGTGGCGATCGCACATCGCCCCCACCTCCAAGTGACAGTTGTTCGCTCCGTGCAAGTGACAGTGATCATCACCCCATGCCCCTGACCCCAGCCCACTGCCCATAACCGAACCAAATTTTCTCCCCCCTCCTCCCTCCCCTAGCACCAGGACCTCTACACGCCGATCTCGTCATGTGGAATGCGTGAAAACGATGAGTTTTTAGAAAAGTACACTTATTAACCCTGTTCAACTGTACAATTTTCATTATCCTTGCAAATGTACTAGCCTGATGAAGGGATGTTTAAAAAACATATGTTTGCCAAATCTACTTTGAAAAGGGCGAATATCACAAGTTGTGCAGAATGTATTGACGTCAAACAATTTCGCGACCTCTAATTCATCTGCAAACGGTCATTGCCTGCTAATATAGTAAATTGACTTACTATATTAGCAGGCAATGACCGTTTGCAGATGAATTAGAGGTCGCGAAA